ACAATGACAAGCCTCTATTACGAACTCCGCAATTGTTCCCGGAAACAATTTCCACGTCATGCTGAATGTTTTGAAATGTCAAGCTTGGAAACCTAACTAGGTACCCAACAAAGCTATGGAAATCCACTGTTGCTGACAATGAAGCTGATGGTTAAATAGTCACAACCAGATGTGTCAAATTATGCGTAATAATTCATTCAATTGAATTCAAACCCATCATTCCTGTCGAAGGAAATAAGCAAATCTGCCAGTTGAAGTGGATTATCCACTGCTTTCTACAATTATTTCGTTTGTCTGAACCCATATTAATTCTAACAATTGAATCCGGTAAATAATTTTACTGGAGACCATTCGATATTTGATCCACAATTTAAAATAATTAAAAAAAAAATATTGTTAAGGATATCCAAGCACTTTGGCTATTTTTTCTCCAGTGAAATGCTTTTCTACTTTTGTAGTCGAATATCAGAGCACTCATTTGACCCTAAATTTTCGGTCATTATGTAATAGTTTTATTATTTAAACTTTGCAGGTCTGATTTTGAATTTATACATTGGACGGTTAGAAAATATTTTAAAAATCTGAAAAAAATAGAAAGTTTACTTTTGGAGGAAGATTGATGAAATATAATATTTTCTATAAATAATTTCTAAACAATCAATTTTCCACCATAAATATAATTTGTTAAGAATCGCAACGAATTTATTAATATTCAAAGTTTTAGAAATCTATTTCATGACTAAAAAAATTATGTTTGCGATAGCTTAAACAATTTCAATTATTTATTTATAAACAGCGAGTGTTCAAAAAATAATAATTCTGTGCAAAATGTCATTTAAATAGTCATGCTTTTTTCCAAATTTTTCTCTTTTTCCAAATTTGATGATTAAGAATGATTGAATCTATAATATGGTCTTTACCCAACAGTAAAAGATACTTGGATATCCTTAATTGGATGAAATTCGGGAAATCTCTTAAAAATTCCTCCCCCCCCCTTTAATTCCGTGCCGGTCACTGGGCGTCGCTCGTTAGAAAAACGAAGAAACACGACTTTCTTCCCTCCAACAATCTAGGGACGATGTAAAAACCAGAGGAAAGCAGAGTCACGTTCGTCAACCGCAGCTCGGACGATTGCTCCTCATCCCTTTGAGGACAGCGTGGTGCTTCGTTCCGAAGCGCGTCCCTTCAATCTCTCATTTTTTTCCACCCCCTTCTCATTTCGTTGTGGTAGCTCTCTTGCACTTTGTGCAGTCAAGACTCCATGTATTTCACTTCCCTTTCAACTTTACTAAGCTCATTCTCATCCCCTTGTAGAGGTACTATTCTTTCCAGTTTTTTTACGCTCCGTTCTGTTCATGATTTCATACTTTTTACTTTATTCAAGTTTTATTTTTCATTTTTTATTTTTTTTTCTGTTATGGACTTGAGAGAGTGAAGGCAATGTATGGGTTAAGCGATAGGGAGAAGCCTGTGTCAAGCCTCTGGTTCTCAACAGCATGCGCGTATGTCATACCAATATGTGTGTGTGTGAATGGCTGCACACATGAACATCTGGAGGATGTGCTATGCACTGTGTCCAGGAATTATGGTGGAGATTAGTGGGACAAGTAACGTCGTATACCGGCCTATAAAGGATCAACCCTATTCCTACGTTACATTGTGTTGGTGGACATTGTTGGGTAATAGTTAAACCCGTAATAACACGAATAATAGAAAAGACATAATTTGAGGGAGATTGTTGACGATTATATGCTAATAATCGTCCTTTGCATTTAAATTTATGCTTTTTAATCGGAGAATTATTTTTTAGGTTGTAAAGATGGTGAGGAATAGTCAATCTTCTCTGGAAATTAATGTTCTCTGTATGATTTTCAGTTTTTCTTAAAGTTTAATCATTTGAATGTGATTTTTTTAATAGAAAATGTCACACGGGAATTTATTTTCTGATATGATGTTATTCATGTTCTAGCATGAATTTACATTACGACATTATTATATATCCAAACCTAAATGATGTCAAGTTTTAAGCAGTATTATTCAAATTCCAATGCTTTCTTGAAAGAAACAGTAGAAAAAAGAGATAAAATAAAATGAAATAACAAAATATCACACGTTTGGGGGAGAAATTCTTAATGGTCATCTGGAATCATATGAGATCATTTTTGGGGTTGTGAAAATGATGAGTAATAGCCACTTTCCCCAAGAAATTGATGTTCCCTGTATAAACAACACAGAAATTGCATTTCAAAGACTTCAGCTACCAAATTTTTTACATTCCCCCATTTCAGAGTAATTCTATGCATATATTTTTCAGTGCGAATATCTCCGGAAAGTTGTTTCGGACACTAGAGGGGCGGTCCTTTGAATATTATCCCGAAGGATGGAAACCATCTTTTACGATGCCGGAATACCAATGAATACTATGGACGTTGCGCTTCTTCAACGGGTAAAAACGTATATCGGGATATTTTACTGTCTACAAAATACTCGTCTTTGAAAACGCTCTCAATGCCGCATTTATTTCCAAGAGGGGAGATAAGTTTTGTTGAGCTTTTTACATTGTTGAACAAAGTGTCAGAATCGAATGAAGGAAACAGACAGAGTGAAATATTCATACATTTCTTATAGACGTTTCGACAATGCAATCTCATTTTTTTCTCATTTATAATATTTTTGCTTCTGAATGGAAGCTTCGTCGCTCAAATTTAAATTTTCAAATTTTTCGTGTTTTTGATGGTGTCTGTATGCATGGCCTTTTAAAAATGTTTGTCTGAAACTTCCGGTACACTTTTTGGAAATTTTTATCAAATTAAATCACCACTGAAATTTCGAGGAATTTCGTCATTAAAAATTCAGAATTTCGTGGAAAAATGAAAGAGAACTGTAAATTTCAGTTCCATTTGTCCCTAAAAATGAACAGAAAACCAGAAAATTCCGGTAAATATATTCATGAATTTTCAGGACACTGACACCAAATACGATTTAGGGGGAAAAAATTATGAGATTTCAGATTTCACTGAAAATTCAATGTAATTTGGGGCAGAATATTCACTCATAGATTAGAAATTTTAATGAATTAAGGAATTCTCGTATTTATGATGCTTAAAATTATGGAATTTCAGCTTATCTGAAATTGCTAGTTTAGTTATAACGATTATTATACTCATTAATAAAAAAAATGCCACTGTCCACTTATTTTATAGATTGAAGGAGGAAAATAACCGAGTTTTTCCACTGAAATAAAATATGATAATTGAGCTCATACTTCTCAATCTTATACGCAGACCTGATAAAAATGCTGACAATGCGTTTCATCAAAATTCCATTCACGAACTAATGACGTATCGATTTTTGCAAACCCCCATGATTATTACGACGGCCGAAAAAAAAAAGAATGTGCATTCTCCATACGATGATTCATTCCCTTCGCTCCCTCTTTTCCAATCCCCTGTCATTTGGAACGCAGAGCGTACGTTCAGAGAGAGGCGTGTGTAGCTTTACCAGCGTCGTAATTATCGCTAATTGGGCGGCGGATAATACTCGGCCCGTCGAAGCTCGATGCATGAAAATGGGCAGAATTTAGTGGGTGAAGAGAGAGTGAGAGAGAGAGAGAGAGAGAGAGAGAGAGAGAGAGAGAGAGAGAGAGA